TGACACACAAGGTGGGGGGAATTTTGGTCATGAATAGCTTTTTTTTTTCTCCTTTATGTCATTACATGTTGATTTCCAGAGTGGACAATGCTGTTGGCGCTCTCATGCCTCGTTCTCTGTCGCAGGGGTGTTGTTGGCCGTTACCATTGAGTCGGGTTTACGAGTCATTCGGTCCAGTTCCGCCTGGACGTCAGTCAAACCCGGCTTCTGCCCTTGGAAGAAAGAAGAGAAAGAAAACAGAGTAATCTCCTGTAGTTTCTGTCGTATATGAAAATAACACAGGTTGGTTATGGTTATGTGATGGGAACCAGTTCGGTGGATGTGGATGAGTTCTGCATGCTGGTATGCATTCAAAAGCAGCATGCTGTGCGGCTACACAAATGCAAACTTAATGAGAAGGATACGAAAAGGGAAAGAAAAAACTGCATGTGGTTCTTTATCCGAGCACAATGGGGACATAACAGCAGATAATGAACACAGCAATGTGTTAATATATTAGCAATTCATATAAACACCTGAAACAAAATATAAAAGATGAGGTGGTGTCACTCACACAGGCTTTTTAGCCCATGCCTCCTGGATACTCTCTCTGGCTGTAAAGGCAAAACTCCCAAAAAAAAACAGCATTGTCCAGAGGGAACAAAAGACATGATAAAAGGTGATCAGGTGAATCTCATGAACGATTGCACAGGTTGTAATTCAACCAAAAATCACAGGGGGAAAAAAAAACATCCTCAGAATGTCCTGTTGTCCATGTGTACCAAGTTTTAAAGTTTAGACATCATATTCAAAAGATAAAGGCCAATTAGTCACTACAGACCACACTCACAAAGACACTGGCCTATCTCTCCAAAATGATAAAAGTAATTAAAATTCTTTAAAGATAAAAATAAGATAAAAATTATTTTAATAACTTTTTGTTGAGTATCTTAAGATGATGCACACCAAATTTCATGCAAATCGGACATGCTTTAAGAAACTGAGGCCAATTTTAGAACAATAAGGACTGTTTGCATTTTTACATTATTTTCAAAAATTAAGAACATTTTCCCAAACTCTAATTGCTAAAAACATAAAACAAAATAAAATAATCGTACGCACTGCAATACAATATTGTAGTATTTCATTATGCAAAATAACATTTTTTTTCCCTTATGATTTTGGGGTGAAATATGACCCATACATGCCAGTTTTTTTGAGATTCACCTGTTCCTGGGGTTGAGGCTGGAATAGGAAGAACTTACCTGTTTTCTTGGCAGAGCCTTGTACGCCCGTTCCTGTTGCTGCCCCTGGTGACCCAGGACTGCCCGGCACACCTGTCTTTTTACTCAGCAGACTGTTGAAGAAGTTGGCCAGCACTCCCTCATTTGCTGCTGCTCCTATAAACACACAAACAATTTAAACATAATGACCTCAGGTGACAATGGGGATACCCAACTGATATTCATTGTTCAAAAGCAAACATACATCCAGATTCACAATCACCACCACTATAATATTAAAAGGGCTTAGTATGTCTATTAACTAAAAACTGGTGAAAACTGAAATATTTAAATGTGGAATATGATACCTGATACCCTATATGGTGAGAAGGTTTAAGGATTTAATTAAAGTTGATTTAATTAAAGCGACTGAATCTATTCCTGCTGGTTTGAAACATGCTGACCAGCTGAGCTTAATGATCGGAAAATTTCATTTTTCCCCACACCAACTGGAATGCATGGGAATATTCTGTTTAGGGAATTATTCCTACATTCTCCTCATGAGGGCAGTGTTTTAAAGAGGTTAGACTGAGGCAAAGGCAAAGGCAGAGGGATGAACCAGCAAAATGAGATGAGTGGGAAAGAAAATAAAAGAACATTGAGAGAAACAGAGAGAACAAAGTGCTCATATTAAGACTCTCACAAAAACACTGTGTTTTCGCTTGACTGCACAATCATATGCTATTTGTGCCAGTCTGATGAATAGAGAGCCATGAGATCACAAAGCTTCATTTAAGTTCTGCATCAAGTGGTGCGTGTAATCTTGCAAGGTAAGATATCTTACCTTTCATGTTGGGGTCTGGTTTCTTCACCGCAGTCATGGGTGAGACACTTGCCACATTAGTGGGCCCTGTCCGGCCTGTCGGCCGGGGTGAACCAGATGCAGACCGGACAGGAGACTCCTATGCACACACACACACA